GGATTTGAATTCTTCCATGAACAGGTTTGCAATAACAGGTGACAGTGGGAGCTCCTTCAATTTGCTTGTATTTTTGTCCTTTGTATATGAAATATGTGTTGGTTAAGCAGTGTTCTACTAGATCCATGAGGTGTTTGGGTGGTTGGTATTTGTTTTTGATGATTTGTAGAGTTTCTTTTATCGGGATTTGAGTGAAAAGTGAAACCACGTCAAAACTTACATCTTTTTGTTCTACGTGTAGATCTTTGATCATTTCTAAGAGGTGGTATGAGTTTTGTACACACTTCCTCAGTAGTCCAACACATAAAAGCCACAGTCATAGCATCAACTTCAATGGCACCAAAACCCTAGCCACCATAGAAAACCCCAGCTACAGAATTATCAGAGAAGCCATAGAGATTGAAAAAAGACCTGAAAGCATGAATAGAAGAGATGACTCCACCAAATTGTCAATTATCTGGAAGCCTGAACTCACAAACAAAAAAATCTCCACACCACAGTCCAAACAAACACCTGGGCACAAACAGACCCCTGATACCTCCAGCCCAAACACACCCCAGCCAGCCACCCAGATGAAACCTAGCTTCCTAATAAATGATAGCGAGCCATTCACCTGAAGCCAAGCTGCGCTAAAAGCCCCCAATACATGAAACACAATGTTGCCAGCTAATCAAGACAAAAAAATGCTACAAAGCAGACATAAGATATTAGAAACACCAATCAAGCAGAACACAGCAAACTCCAAGACCAATAAACACAGACCAAGACTTCCAACCAATCAGGATGAAGAAAAAACCATTCTAACAAAGCACGAGGCTAGCACCAAATTTAAAACAGAAGCTGCAGCAAAATCCTGACACACAGAGAACTCAATACACAAGCCTGATGATGGCAGATGAGATTCTGCTGAAACGTTGCTACAACTTTAAAAGCACAACTATAATGATGTGGGAAAATTTAACCCAAACAAAGCTGAATACGATACATATAAATACCCACGAAAACTTAAGAAAACAAATATCAGACCTCTATGAGCAGGAAATAAACAGCCGGACCAAAACCTACAAGAAGCTGGAATACTATGTGACCTCAAATTCCTACGCAGCTGCAGAGACAACAATGCAATACTGACCTGCTTCAAATTAATATTTCAGCACAGCACAGCAGCTACCAAACATATCCTGAAAAGAACTGAAATGGCTCTACTCAGGAACGAGCTTCACAATAAAAGATTCCAACTGGACTAGTTAAACAAAGACCTCCTAATCCTACACCTGGAATTGAGCAACAAAATCCACCCTCTACTTTGGGACAAGATAAAACAATTCACAACTTGGAGAGCTGAAACTGAAACCACTTACAAAAATGACAAACTCCTGAAGAAACTAAAGAAATTAGAACATGATAAGAAAGCCCCCAACAACCCACAACTACACCTGAAACAATTAGTATACATTGTTTCCAATAGAGAACTCACCAAAACCGAAACAGATGTCCTAACCAAAAGATTCAACTATACTATAGCACCCCAAAAAATCCCCACAGAATCCACCATATGCGGAGTGGAATCCAGCCTAACTAAATTAAATGCAGATGAAGCTGATAGAATAAGACACCAAGTTACTAACATCCTATGCACAAACAAACCACCCAAAAGCAACTTGCACAAAGAGGAACTAAAAGCCCTGCAAGCCATAAGGAACGACAGCAGCATAATCATACTTCCAGCAGATAAAGGTAATGCCACAGTAGTAATGGACAGAAAAGACTACAAATCAAAATTGACAGACCTACTCCAAGACTCCACATACAAACCCATAAACACAGACCCAACCACGTATCTTGAAAAATAACCAAGAAGAAAATCATAACCAGCAACATGAGCAAAGAGATCCAACAGATGATCATCCCAAGAGAAAAATCTTCCAGATGCCCCAAACTATACGGCCTCCCCAAAATACACAAAGAAGGCATACCTCTGAGATCCATAATCAGCTCCAGAGGAGCACCACTACAAAACCTAGCCAAATACCTAGCAAAGCAGCTACAGCCCCATGCTGAAGCAGCAGCTTCACATGTACAAAAGTCATACCACCTCTTAGAAATGATCATGTGGAACAAAAAGATCTGCTAGTAAGCAAGGAGAAGATAACATAGAAAAGGCACTACGTAACCTAAAACCATCCCTATCTATTGGCCCTGATGGATTATGTGCATACTTCTTAAAAAAGCTCTCCTCTGCCATAGCGGAACCCCTAAGCATTATATATGAGATATCTTTCAGAACCAGCTCCTTACCAAACCTATGGTCCTTAGCTATGATCATCCCTATCTTCAAAAAAGGTGACCCCAGCCTGGTTGAAAACTACAGACCAACTACAGACCAATCTTATTGTGTTGTGTCGCGTGCAAAGTTATGGAATCAATTATTAATCAATGCATTACCTTCCACCTAGAGTCAAGCAACCTATTCTTCAACAAACAATTTGATATCAGAAAAAAAATGTCCTGGAATTTCTCCACTGCAGAAACATATGGACTACATTACTTGACCAGGACAAAGCAATAGATGTAATTTACATAGACTTCTGCAAAGCCTTTGACTCAGTGGTACATGCGAAACTACTATTAAAATTAAAATCTTACGGCATTTCCAGATCCCTTCATAAGTGGATTACTGCCTTCCTGTTAAGCAGGCAACAATTAGTAAAAATAGGAAACGCCCTATCAAACCCTGCACCAATTATCAGTGGTGTCCCCCAAGGGAGCGTTCTAGGATTCACACTCTTTACACTCTATATAAATGACCTTTGTGAGCACCTTATAAGTAACTGCGTCCTCTTCGCTGATGCTGTAAAACCATTCAACACCACCTTCAATGCTACTGTCCTTCAAAGTGACCTTGATTATGTGTCTGGTTGGCAAACAGTTGGCAACTCAAAATCTTGACCAACAAATGCTCTATCCTACACATTGGTAAAAAAAAATCAATACATTAAATACAAGCTAGGCGGATATGACTTCATTGACGACCTCACTCTGTCAAAGAGCTTGGAGTTCTCATATCGAATGTCCTAAGTGCCAGAGCTCACTGCAACAACATTGCAAAAAAGTCTTTAAGAGTTGTAAATCTGATCGTATGAAGCTTCTTCTCTGGTAATACTGATTTGCAAACTAGGGCATACACAACCTTTGCTAGACCAATACTTGAATATAGTTCTGCTGTCTGGAATCTGCACTGTATATCAGACATTAATACAATTGTATTAATACACTGTATATCAGACATTAATACAATCCAGAAGTATTTTACAAGAAGTTACTTCACTCCTCTGTTTGCAATAGAATACCCTACACCACCAGATTTGAGATTCTAGTCTTAAACAACCTTGAAGTTTGCCAGCTAAGATTGGACTTAAGCATAGTACATAAAATCATATGTTACAATGTCTTACCAGTTCATGAATATTTCAGTTTTAACCACAACAACACAAGAGTACACAACAGATATAAACTTGTATATAGAGATATACATTTGTAAACTACTCTAAACTTGATTGCAGGAAGTACGATTTCAGTAACAGAGTGGTCATTATCTGGAACTCACGACCTGATTCTGTTGTCACATGCTCAAACCCCCACTCCTTTACCCTCAAACTAACCTCTATCGACCTCACCCCATTCCTAAGAAATCTGTAAGGGGCGTGCATAAGCGCACAATCATGCCTACCATCCCTGTCCTATTGTCCCCAATTATTAGTTCCTATTTCATGTATTTAAACTTATGTTTATTCTTATTTCTATTATCTTGTAAGCATTTGACTAAATAAATAAATACACAAATAAATCAGTGAACCTTTCAAAACAGTTTTATTTAAAAACTTAATGGAGGTGTTCAAAGAACAAACAGCCTATAATGATGTTCTGACTGAATTTGAGACAAGAGGGAGAGCCACAGACTGGACAATGGTTTGTAAAAGATTCTCAGCCAACAGGAGTGAGGACATGGCTTTTGTCTCCAAAGAGACCCATCCTAGTTTTGCAAAGACCAAAAGGAAAGAAGGGAAAATGTTGTCTTGCAAGAGACTGTCAGGCCTGAGGAGAGAGGGGTTTACATTGTTCCAGGGCCCATGGAGCTCAAAGGGGGCCAATGAAGAGGATTATTTTTTTTTTAACAAAATCAATTGTTTAAAAAGAAAAACAGAGGGACGGTGTGTCAACCTGGATGCTCTTGGGCGGGGGTGGGGGACAGTGGGGGTGGCTCGCAGGCTGAGAGCAAACACTCCAAAGCTGGATCATATCAACTCATCAAGGAAGGAAGTGTCCTTCCCGCCCAGAAGCGTCAGCAATGATCACCTCTACCTCCACCCTTCTCCCCAGTTCTTAAAAAATGAATTTCCACTTTTTATCCTGTCGAAATCCTTCACGCTAAAAGGAAGGAGGCGTCACTGTTAGTTTAATCGGAGGATCTGCGCGCGCCGGCTGTGCCAAAGGGTAACTGGCAAGAAGTGGCTTTAAAACGCAGGAGGATAAACCGGAGGAGCGAAGTGGGGATGAGCGAGGTAAACGTAACTTTTCTTTCATTCATATAGAGTGAATCATTCTTCTTCCAGTCGGAAAAAAAATCTACTTGTGGGCTGCACGGACTCCCAACATCGCTTCTCTGTAGTTCGTCCTCACCTTCCCCCCACGCTTCCCCATGTGCTTCGCTGCCCTGGTAGCCCCCCCTTTTAACGAGCCTCTCACAGGGTGGTGGGGAGGGGGCCCATATTAGTCTTGTTTCGCCCCTGGAAACTTAATCTAAACTTCCATTAAATTTAGGGATAAGTACAGGTAAGGTTTAAATTTTATAGAGACAAACAGGCTACTTGTTTTTAGGCAGCATTGCTGGTTTTAAGAATTATATTATGAAGTGAAATTCATAAAATTTCGAGTGCGAGGACCTCTGCCGGCTTCCTTCCAATCCTGCAAGAGGCCACGGCGAGGCTGACCCAAGCCAATAGGGAAGACTCGGAGGGTTGTCCTGGCAGGGATCTTGGGGGCGGGGGTTTCGACTGAGGAAAGGCAGGGCGTGGAGTTTCCTCTACTTTGACGATCTAGTTCCCGCCGCGCCCGCAGGAAGCCCGATTGATCAGCCCCGACCCTCGCTCCGCCTTTGCTATTTTTTCTTTCGCCAGCCCTGACTATCCACATGCAGGTATGTTTGAAGTGCGTCCCGAGATTGGTGCGGGTGGGAGTGTAAAGAACGTATGAAAACATACGGGGAACGGGAAAAAAGGCCCCTGGGGTTGCGGGGACATAGGAATTTGGACCTGAGGCCTGGCAAAAAAGCTTGAGTAGAGCTCAAATGACTTTCGTTTCATTGTAGTTGCGCTGTTCGTTGGGCGAGGCAATGAGGGCTGCGTTCAGCATCTTACAAACAGCTCAAATGCAACTCGGAAAAGGAAAGGTCGTTGCTCTTTTCGGCACCGCTTAAACTTTTGTTTGCAGATCCTTGAATAGTTCTGAGCGTCTTGGGAAGAAAGTTGTCGTTCGAATTGGTAAGTGGCACTGGAAAAGCGCGCGAGTAAATGTATGTTAGGTTCAAATCGGTGAAATTGTTGACGGTCCCAGAGTCTTGACAGTGAGGGCATCTGTTCTGTCTCTTGGGTAGTTGTAAAAGGGAAGATAGGCTGTTAAAACCGAAAGTGCAAATCCTGCTTTGGAACGCCTGGCAGGAAAGAAATGTGAATCCTTCATGGAAAGGAGAATAGATATTAGTTGGGGAAAATGTCAACTTCTAATCTATCAGTGAACATGAACAGGGTGAGGCAATGAATATCCAAGAGAAAATTCTTGAGAAGTGTTTTCTGAGAGCAGCTGATGATAAAAAGGGGAGAAAAACATCCTTTCCCAAAATGAGCTGTGCTCTAATTCCTTTTTTCAGAAAGTCACAGTTCATTTAAATCAGATTTGCAGAACATTAGCTAAGTTTCACCTGACATCAGATGCTAACAAACTGCAGTGCTTTAAAAGCTTGTGAGTTTTGATCAAAGGGTGGGGTCTAGATAAGAGTAATATTTAAAAGCATGTGCCAGCCTTTCCTAAATCAGACTTCAGAAAATGTATAGGGCTGAAACTACTGTCAGATGCAGATGGCAGCAAGATGTGTGATCAGGAGCCAGCATTGTGAAGCAGACTTATTGCTGATAATGAGATAGGAAGTCAAATTCTATAACACTTCAAGCAGATAGAAGGGAACACTCTAGCGGTATCGATTCCAGTGAGAGAACCAGTTTTTAACACTAATTCCTAGCACAGGATCATAGTTGCAAAACATGGAATGATGCATGAATTTGGTGGGTGACTTCACAACCACCACAGAGGTAGTGGTGGATTATCTATCAAGTGACTCCAAATTACAAGCTGTTGCTACAAAGTATGACACAATTGTGCTGAAGGAGCTGTGAACACTTAGGAGAAGTGTCCGGACTTAAGAGAAGGCAGGTCAGAGAGATTAATATAGAAGAGACCAGAACCTAACCTAACGTACTTCAGGGATAGGCAATATAGTACTTAGCAGACATTTGAGACTACAATATTAACAATCCCCTGCCATTACTTGTGTTAACTGTGGCTGATTGGAGAGAAAATTCAAGATACCAGAAGGAGTCAGTTCCATGCCATAGGCCCAGTACAGTAGTTAGACAATTGGATAAGACAGACCCAAAGTGAAACTATTTAGTCATGGAGTTGTCAGATTGAGTTTGGACTAATGACTGTCTCTCCAATTAACAATGATTTCACCACCACAGCAGCTATCACAGATGTTAGCTTTTGTCTTTCTGTCAGCTGCCTGTTTTCTAGAACAAACAGCTTAAATCTAAGCTATAAATTGTGGTTAAGCAGTTCAAGACCAAGCTAGGCAAAAGACTAAGTAGAGTTTCTTATTGCCAGGGTGTACGTGGAATGGGTTTTAAGTACTGAGTTAAGACTAAATCCAAATTAGTCTTAACTAATTTTCTTGAGGTGCAACTATGGGAAGCACTGTATTAAAAGAATTCAACTTATTACACAGTTCTCACAGTTGATTATCTAAATAATTTTATTTGAGAGCTTTCAGTGTAGAAAAGTTTTCCAAGAGAACTTGCTCGTTGTAATAATTTTTAAAAATTTTCTTATCCATCTCTGTGTGTAAAAATATCAGCAATGGAAAAATAACATTAAATTAAAATTGGAAACAACCTTCCCTCTTCTATTGTTGTGTAGATATAACAATGACAACTCTCAGGATTTCCAGCTGGGTTAGTATATGAGAGATGCTAGGCCAAAGATGATAGACATCTTGTTTTAAGCAAGCTTCCATTTGAGCTGCCTAAAGTATGGAAGGATTTAGTTCCAATTTTAACAATGGAATGGAAATACCAAATTTCTAAAAGTTAGGAGACGATGATTTGTTTAGCAGTCTGAATTTATAAACTTTTTCTTAATGTTACATTTTAAGATCCAGGAATTGGTCAATTAGAGCACAATTCAGTGGAAGAATGAATGGAAGAGAGCCAGTAGACTGTAATAATCAGATTGTTAACTAGATATGGTAATGTATTCAGTGATGCAGATACTTAACTCTAAAGCTCTACTACATGGGTGTCAAACTTGCCATGTCATGTTGCCGTCACATATTTTGCAACGTTTTTTCCCATTCATGGAGCTGGGGTGGGTATAGCCTGCGTGTGACATCTGGCTTTTGGGCCACCAGTTTGACACCCTGCTCTATTAGGAGAAGGCACTGTCTTTCTATCTATGTCACATATTTACTATAAAAATAAAATGGGGAAAAGAAGATTGGAAATTCAGTAACTATGTAATGAATGAGCATGCGAGGTAAAAAAAAAAAAACAGTGACAGCACAAGCAACTTTTGCTGGATTTCTCAGAAGCTGGCAGGAGGCATTGAAAATCATGATCAGGTGGTGGTGGCTGACTGACTGCAGAGCACTGCAATCATCTGTAAGTGTGATCATGTGACTGAGGGAGGGCAACCATTGGAATTTTGAATCCAGATTGTAAGTAACCCCAGGAAGACCATCATAATGTCAAAAGATTGCTAAGTGGCTGGTTGGAATACCTATGATTAAATAATTAAATACTCTGAATGTGCCCATTGTATTATAACCTGAGATCTCTATTCTTGAGATGTTTTCCCTCTTAGATTTCTTACTCATTTACTAATATGTCTATAGTGAGAGATGTTGCTTGAATGAACTCCCTAAATAAGTGCAGCATGATTATTGCCACAACAGTTGTTTTTGTTCCCCTTTTTTTCTTCCTCCTCTGTTCTGAAAAAGAGTTAGCTAAATGGAAGCAAATCAAATGTGAGTAAATCAAGAAACATGGGTTTTTCTAAAATGACCAGAATGTTTTTCTGACAAGAAGTGAAAGTTGTTACAAAATAAAAGTAGTTTACTTGTCCTATTCTCATAAAAACTAAAATGTGAATATTTTAAATTTCTTGACTGATCTCTTACAATGTAAATCAATATAAAACAACTGGAACATTTTTTGGTTTTGACCTTCCATGTTGTATTAGTTCAACCACTGTAGCTTAAAAATGTTTACTTCTCACTGAAATATATTAAGCCCTACACGTGAAGCCAGTCATTATGGTTTATTTTGTAAATTAATTATAGTTTAAATTAGCCATTGTACAGTGTTCATATACTAACTTCCAAATAAGTATGAATAGTTTGCTTCTGGTTGACTGATTCTAGATTTAATCATAATTAGGGTAGTAGTACCACTAAAAACAGTGGGACAAATCAGAATTGATTTCAGTAGAACTGTTTTAGAGGTAGACATAGCAAGATATCTACCGTGTTTCTCATATAATAAGACCGGGTCTTATTTTTTTTTGAGCCCCGAAAAAATGGCTAGGTCGTCTTTTCAGGGGTGACTTAATTCCCCCCCCTTGCATCTTCGGGCGGGCGGTGACAGCTTGGATATTGACCTCGGCGTTGGTGGGGCACTTCGTATCGAAGTCAACACAGGCAGCACCATATCCGGGTGTGCAACAAAAGTACTTCCTAATGGCAAGCCCCCCCACCATTCCCCCCATTTAGCATGTTTTAATATAGGCCTTAATTTGGGGGGGAGGGGCTTAATTTCATTTCATGCCTATAAAACATGCTGGGACTTCCTATTGGGGGAGGCCGTATTGTTGGAGAAACAGGGTAGCAAGATGACCATTGATTTTCTAACCTTAATCTATTAAGACATTGAAAGTTTATTTACAACCAGGAATCTGCAACATAGTACAGCAATTCACATAAAAGCAATAAAGCCTTAAGAATGTGCCAGTTAAAATTTATAGAGATGGAAAGTAAGCAAAGTAAAACAGCAAGACAAAGTAAAACATGTCCACTAATGTCTCAGGTTCATTCACATATTTTCTTATGAAACTGGATTTTGTGGAACCACCTTCTGTCCAACACTCAAGTATAGAATGTTAAAATGGACCAGAAAGAAGGCTCTAAGTCAGTGGTTCCCAAGTGGGCAGTACCGCCCCCTGGGGGGAATGACTTAGGGGGGTGCCAAGAGGCAAGGGGGGCAGCAGGGGGGTGCTAAGAGGCAAAGGGGTGGCAGAGGAGTGCTCGAGATGGGCCCCTTGCAGGGCACAGTTCAGTTTCCGCCCCACCCCACTTGCCTGGCTTGCTGGTGGCTGAGAGGAAGGCGAGCCATGGCTGACGCGTTGCTGCTTGGGTCCCACTTGGATTCTCTGCAGCTGCTGGGCCTTGCCTGCTAGGGGTGAGGGGGGGAGGCGACCAGGGAGCCGAGTTACTACCTTGTTTGAAGAGTGTGTGTGTGTGTGTGTTTCAGGTGGCTCTTCTAGCTTAGGAGAGAACAAAGGAGGAAGGGAAGGGATAGAGAGAGGGGGGGTGGGAAAGAGAGAAAAAAGAGAGAGAAAGAGAAGAAAGAGACAAGAAAAAAAGAGAAAAGGGAAAGAAAGAAAAAGGGAGAGAAAGGAAGAAAAGGGACAAAGAAAGGGAGGGAGGAGAAAGTGAATGAGATATCTAGTCCAACCATCTGCTCTAGCAAGGTTAGAAGAGAGAGAGAGAGAGAGAGAGAGAGAGCATGGCTATCAAAACTCCAAAAACAGGTCAAGGAGCTCTGGGGAGGACAGTCATAAATTAGAACACTTGCTAAGCAACTGGCCATTAAACGAGGACCACTTGTATTTGGTTTGCCAGTCACATGGTCACATGGCCACACCCACCCAGTCACATGACCACCAAGCCACTCCCACCCAGTCATATGACCACCAAGCCACACCCATAAATTAGGCCATGCCCACAGAACCAGTTGTTAAGAAATTTGAATCCCACCCCTGGGTGGGGGGCACTGAGGATAAGTTTGTAGCACAAAGCGGGTGGTGGACTGAAAAAGTTTGGGAACCACTGCTCTAAAGTTTTAAAAAGCTGAATGTTATAATACACTGTTATCTTTGCAGAATCACCAAAGTGAGGCATTGATGGTCGTGTTGAAATCAGCCCTTAACATATGCAGCTGCCCAAGTATGCATTGGGAAGGCACAGCCTCTTATTATAATGGCAGAGCAGCTAGCTGGTAAAACAAAAATTACACACAAAGCTACAGCAGGAGGAGATTCATTGTCCTTCATAAAGTCACTGAAAGTCCACAGAGAATTGCTAGTCAATCGAATCCGCAACACCCAGTGTTTGATTGACAACTTGATTAAGAATGACTATTTCTCCATAGAGGATGCAGAGATTGCTGCACAGTATTCTACACAAGCAGATAAGGTACAGTATATATTTTATTTCAGTCTTTGGCTTATGGGTAGTTTAAGGGTAGTAAATCATGACAGTGCACTCTATAAATTGTGTCCTTCCTCATAATCTTTCATATAGGCAAGTGAGCAAGGCTGCCTAGAGCAGGGGTCACCAACCTTTTGGACCTCAGGGACACCAAACTCATAATTTTAAATCCTACAGACCAGAGACCCTGGGAAAATCCCCCCAAAAAGTTGCAAGAAAATTCCCCGCCCCGTTTGATCAATTGATCATTCTTTATTTGGGATCATAGAATAGCGTCTCCAGCTCTGTTCTCAGGGAGAGAGAGAGAGAGAGAGACTTTTGGCTTCATGCAAGAAAAGCAGCAGAAACAGCAGAAGTCTTTCTCTCCCCCAAACGCCACCAGAAATTAGTCTTTGTGAGACTTGTTGTGCCACCACAGCCTCTTGGAGCAGGATTCCTTGCAGGGTCCCAAAGACTTATTTCTGGTGGAGTTTGGGGGAGAGAAAGACTTTAGCTGCTTTCCTTGCATGTAGCCAAAAGCAAAAGAAGAAATGGAAAGAAGCAGCCCGGTGGCCAGACGAGACGTGTGGGGCAAGTGGAGCAAGTCCCCCCCCTCCGCCCTTTCCTTCCTCCCCTCACTATCTCGTGTTGTTCATAATGTAAGTGACGCAAGTCTTGTGTTCCCGCGGGCCATGTGGGCGGCGCAGCCTTGTGTTCCTGCACAGCTTAGATTAATTGGTTTGGAGGTTGCTTTGGGAGTGACATTTCTCTACGGACCACCAGAATTTTCTTGCAGACCACCAGTGGTCCCCAGCCCACTGGTTGGTGACCACTGGCCTAGAGGAACTGGAACTGATCTTTTCATTTGTCTTCCACCATATTATCTGGGAGTAAAGCTGGCTACAGATAACATTTTCTCTTCCCTTGGCATGTTTAATGGACTAACTACATATTTTTATATGCTACTGGTTAGGATTATTTAATATAAATTGCTGTTCATATAGAGAAGATCCAAAGCTGAAATTCTTTCTCATAATTGACTTATTTTGGAACAATTTCAAAGAGACAGTGTAGGTGTCATCACATGCATGAATAATTTTTTCCTTCACTCAACATTCCAACAAAACTCTGGATGCAAAGAAAACATCTATAGATATTCAAACAATGAGAGAGAAAATTTGAACTTCTGGATAAAAATGTCCTTTTACATGCTTTTTCCTAACCTTTAGAAATTAACTCCTTTAGAGTCTGATGATCTTTGAACTGTTTCTGTAGTTAATAATTATTAGTTTCCAAAACGTTCTGGCTGATCTGCTTGATGAACCAGTTAGGCAGCATTTGAAGCTTCAAAACATTTGCTGTTATCTATCAAGAAACTGATACACAGGAATCCTTTGTTATGGATTCTCCTGGCTTCAGATGATTTTTGTTTTTGTGAAAATGCATTTATATTGTCAATGTTAGCATGATAGTGGCTTTTTCTTTCTTCTTTCTTTCTTTCTTTCTTTCTTTCTTTCTTTCTTTCTTTCTTTC